AAATAATAGTATTCATAGCCCAAGTAGAGCATATTGATAGCAAATGCTGCCCTGCAGAAGAAGTCTGTGAGTTCCACAACAGATTAAACTAAGGGTTGAGTTGTTTTGGGTTGTTTTTTTTTTTCAGAAAATGAAGCATTTCTTTAAAAATACTTATGTGCATTTTGTAAAATACTCCCAAAGCACCCAACATTTTGACAGAGCTGGCAAAAAGCACTGGCTTCTAACTTTACTGCACTGTCATCACATGTGGAAAGAAGTAACAACAAATTCTGACTAGTGCCTATGATTAACACCTCCTCCAGCAGCAACATCAGAGGACCACTGATAACATTTTTCATCAGTCACAGGGAAGACATCAACATCCAGAGTGTTCCCAAATGACCTACAGTGAAATTTGGTCACAAACTGATCCCACTGTGTATAAACTGCTCAGCTGAAGAAATGTACTCTTGATTTTCCATTCATCACTGGCCCAAGTGTGTGGGTTCCTCACTTACCCTAATCATGAGAGATTTTGGTTTCAATGACCATAGAGGTTGTGATGTGTTTATTGCCATCATGTTTTGAATAGAAGATGTTTCTCTCCTTTCAGATCTCTTCTATGGCAAGTAGAAATACTAACTGCTTGTGGGAGTGATGATTACAGAAGTTATAACCTGTTGAGGCAATGAAACTTCCAAGGCATTAGCTGCTATTTACACATCTTGTTTGTCTATGCTCACATTTTTATGCTTCTGTCAGGAATGATCAGTCAGGTTGGTAATGCAGAGGTGAATAACTCCTTACTGTCATGCTTAACAGCAGAGTCCCCTTGTAGTTTTTGCAATGAGAGAGGGCTGAGACCTGAAGATCAAAGGTCTGGTGCAGCTGAACACACCTAAATTATATGTATATGAAATATATCTTTCATTCTTTAGATTATTCACAACACTATTCTGTAATTACCAACTCCATAAAAAACATAACAACAGCTGTTCTTGTGATATTTCAGTACCACTGGAATTAGGAGAGAGAAGAAATTCAGAGGTGTGTGACAGCTTTGAAAATATCTATTTCAGTATGAGTTTCACTGAAATAGAGATTGTTTTTACCATCCGTAGACAAAAAAGTAATAGACTAGACAACAGAGAAAACACTAAGGGAGGTCCATGGTGGCCAGGATTATTCAGTTTGGAAGAAATTGCCATTTCTTCAAGAATAAAATATGCTAGTTCGAACAGTTCAGAGGTGTACAGAGTAGCAAAGAAATAGCTAGCATGGTAGAAAATTGGATTTCCAGAACATGGTTTAAAATAAATTCTCATCTAAAATTAAAACTTCAACCAGAAATTCCAGGTTATTAAGAGAAGAAACCAAAGAAGTAACTCTTTTCAAGGAGAAACCAAAAATGTTATAATTTCCTAATTACTGTTATTTCCTGACTTTCACTACTGAAATTAGAAAAGGCAGGTGCTCGAGAAGCCATGACACTTTGGGAACCAAAAGAACTTGGAGTTTTGAGTGTATTATTTGGGAAGCAGCTGAGAGGTTCAGAGAGCAAGCTATGAGGAAGCAGGTGGATTTCATAATACTTTCATGAAAACGGCAAGAGTTGATGAAGATGTGGCTTCTTTGTTCTTTTATGCCTTCCAATTTGAAGCCCTTTCACCATAAAATATTGGTGGCATAGGAAGGATTACTTCCTCACAAGCCACAAATCAAGTAATCATCTACTTCAATACTTCTTGAAGGAGGTAAAAAATATTACAAACTCCAATTAGAATGAAGAATTTAGAGTTGCTGAAATAACCTTTTTATTCTGTTTTGTGAGCTTGATTGCAAGAAGGATGTCAACTAAGAATGAAACTATTCAGAGAAGGAAAGCAAATATGCAACAGGGAGTTGTGAGCCATCCCTGGGATACATCCTGCAAACCACCATCACTTTGCCAGTGGTCCAGCAGACCACAGGTATGAACAGGAGAGGATCGGAAAGAGACTGAAGTTTATCTGCTTCCTTTGTATTTGCAGTGGATTAGGAATAGAAACATAGACAGCGTCTCTTGGAGTGAAATGATATTGTACCTTTACTTTGGAGGGGATTATTTTTTTTCTCCTAGAACCAACAACCAAACACCTGAAAAGGGTGAGAAGTTCTGCTAGACTGAGGTTTCTCCTTTGGAAAGTCAAAAAAGATCCCTACACATTTTTTGGAAATAAAAAGGGCTGTGAAAATTCTGAAGTGTCTGATTCATGTGAGAATTGACAAAGTGAGACATTCAGATTGTTTCATAGATACTGCAGTTGCTCATGAACTGTAGGTGGCTTTTCATCAGCTTCAGGAAGTTTCTTCTTAGTCCTTAAACCCTACAAAGAACTCTTCCTCTTTTTGGAAACATGATTCCTGTGGACAAATACATCACACACTCTTAGACCATGCTGCATTTTGATTTTTTGTGCTGATGGCTGAGATTCGTGGACATTTTGGCCTCAGCCTGTAGTGTTTGGTCATTCCATAGAGACTGTAGAGGCAGAAGTTGCCACTTTGGATCTTCATTCTGGCTAACTCAAAGTTGTGTCTATCCATGGGCAGGAATAGTTGCTTCACAAACAGCCATAAACAAGATAGGTTTGAGATTGCATGTTTTACATTGAGTATGTACTCTGATTTTCAATTATTAGATTGGTTCAGGAGCTGGAAAAAAAAGGTTTTATAGAGTTTCCAGAGTTCTATTCGTTTGTATTAAGTGTAACAACTCTAACCGCTCTCTGTTACACTCATAAACATTCAGTCCTCCTTTCAATCTTCTTAAATTCTCTACTTCATGACAGGACAGTACATTTCAGCCACTGCTGATTTTGATTAATTTTCATAAGCCAAGTTGAGCATTGCTCTCAGCTCATGTGTCAGCTACTGGACACTTCATGGGCTAATGGCCTGATCTGGTCTGGGAATTCTAATGTCATTATAGCTGCCAACAGAGGAGGGTCGAAGAGGGAGGGCATCACCTTGACAATGTCTCTCAAAAATGAAAACAAGTCTTCTTCATACTGTTATAGATTTAAAACGGTCACCAACAAATTCATATCATTAATGAGAAGATATATTTAAAAAAACAACAACGACAAAACCAGCACACTCTGTGGAGAATACAACAGACCTTGTATTAATCTTTCCTTCTTGAAAAAAATACAGAAGTCCAAATAGGATATAAATAGCCCTGTTCTGAGAGAAAGAACAAAAAGAAAATAAAAGCCTAAAGCAGCCTTATTAAGGCTAACTATAATGAGACACATCCAGGAATGAATAATGCCCAAGGAGACCTTGGAGTCAGAGTGGACAGTGAATCAAATGTTGACAATGCAATATGGCAGGGAAAAAGGGAGCCTGCAAATGTGGTCTGTCATGAGGGAGAGAAGGACTGTGTCCAGAAGGGACTCCTGGGAATAGTCTGCAAATGCTCACCGAGCTCCTGAGCCATCAATGCCAAAAAAAATCATAATGAGGGAACTAGAGGAAGTTCAAAGAAGAGCAATCAGAATGATCTGTGTGCTGAAATAAACCAGCTGTGTGGAAAGACCAAAACATCTGGAGAAGTGCATGGCTACCTAAGTGGCATAAGTTGAGCCCCTAAGAATACAGAAGGCAGGATCCAGCCTCTTTACGCAGCTTTGGCTTTTGTAGTCATCATGCAGAGCCCTTACAAGTCTGATTTTGTGCTGAGGAAGGACTCTGTCAACACAGCGACTGTAGGGAATAGCTTGGAGGCTGCTTTAAGGAGCCCGGACCCAGTGTCAGGGATAACAGCTGTGCTGTGGAGATGGTGCTGCAGCACCTCAGGAATTACAGTGCAAGCAGCAAGACAGTTACCTGAACTTCTGATGCTCGGAGTGTTTAAATTACACTGAAAGCCTTGAGATGGTCCAGGAAGGGGAGGACACAAAGGTGGCTGAGAGCCAGCACAGAGCCATCCTTAAGACATTCAGCAAGCAGCAATTGTGAGAGCTGGATAAGGGGGTGGGAAAAAGAAGAGGGAGAAATGAAGGCTTACGATTAACTAGCGAGGGAAAAAAGCACATCATAAAGGTCAAATGTAAGGCTGTGGAGAAATGGTGAGGGGAAAACAGCAGAAAGCTGCGCTTCCTGCAACATCGGCCACGAATCTTAAGGGGACGCTGTGCAGCTCAGCTGCAGCGGACTCTTCTCAGGTAAATACTAAACTGGTATGCGATTTTCTCTTTGCCATTTTATCTTCAGATTAAAACATTTAAAGCCTTGCCGAGGGCTGGGGGTGCAGCGTGCGTGTGCGCAGAGGGGCTGCACAGTCCCTCAGAGGAGCCGAGATCTCCGCTTTTTGCAAGAAAGCGCGCAGCTCGGGATGGGGGCCGCGAGCGAAGGAGGCACTGGGCAGCCCTCCCCCCGTGCTTCCCATTCACATAGAGACCACCACGTGCGATCACCTCCGCGAGGTGCGTCTCCATTAATAATTCACTGCCATCCTTGATTCATCAAGTCCGGGAAGTTCCCAGCAAGAGTGGGAAAAGAGCAGGCGAGCATCTCCGCTGCCAGGCAGAAGGACTTACGAGCGGCTCCCGGGATGAGAAACCGCACGACGCGAACAAGCGGTGCGCCTCTCTCTCCTTCTTACCCCCCGCCCCCATTCCATTCTGCTTTTCACTCTCACTACGAAGCCACCACCTCACGCACGGAGCAGCCCTCGGGTGGACGGGGGAGTCGGCGGCACAGCCCCGACCGCCTCATCGCTCGCACACCGCTGCCAGCCCGCTGCGCACCTCCCGGCCCCAGTGCGGCAGCTCCGGCGGCTCCGCAGCCGCATCGCCCAGCGTGCGTGTGCGCGGCTGGGTGTGAGTGTGTGCGAGTGTGCGCCTACCGGGGAGGCAGGCAGCGAGGGAGGAGTTTGGCTTTTTTTTTTTTTTTTTTTTCCTCCCCCTCCTTCTCCCTCTCTCTCTCTCTCTTTTTTTTTTTTTTTTTTTTTTTTTTTTATTAATCAGGAGCACTGAATGGAAACCAATCAGATAGAGAGCCCCCTCGGCTCGGGCTGCCTGCATGCGGGAGTTAAAAAGTGCTGCCGGTCGAGCGGCAGCCCCAGTGAGCGGCGGGGAGGCTGAGAGCGGGCAGCAGGGGCCGGGAGCCGTCGCCACCCATCCCAGCTCGGCCCTGCGAGCCGGTAAGAGCCGGGCTGCGCGCCCCGGGCATCGAGCTTTGGCCCTCCGGAGGCGGCCGCCTTCCCTTTCTTCTTTTTTTTTTCTTTTAATTAATGTATTATTATTTTTTTTTACTGCGCTCATTGGGAATGCAACTGCGTGTGGGGGAGGGAGGGGTGTCCATCACTTCTTTCGCAAAGTTGGCGGCTGTCTGGCGGGGGCTCCGCGGCTGCGCCGGGTTTCGTCCCCCGGGGGCTGCGGGAGCCGCGCTCGCGTGCGCTGAGTCGGGGAAAGGATGCGGCGCTGGGCTGAGGGCTGTGATGGGCAGCAAAGCGCTGGGGGCGAGGGAAGAGGTGAAGGCGGGTGGAGGGGTCGCGTGTGGTTAGAAAAGTATTAATAATAATAACAAGAATGATGATGATGATGGAAAAGGAGAAGCATGATAAGAGCCAAGGTTGTTTTCTTCTTCTTTTTTTTCTTTTTCATTAAAAACAAAAAACAAAAAACCCTGCGTTGGCTTCTTGGCGCTACCTAGTCTCAGTGAAATGGATACAGGGTAAAGCCCTTCAGATCACAAGCAAAAGGCAAAGTGCAGAGCTGGATGCAGAGCAGCACTGAGATGAGCACTCCCCCGGCGCAAAGAAGGGGCAAAGGGAGGGGGGGGGGGACGGACCTGGGGATGCTGCCGGGATTGGCAAATGTGAAAGGCTTCATCTGGGGAAGGAAGAGGTTGGGGAGTGGTGGAGGTGGGGGAAGAAAGGGGGTAGGCGTACAGGCATTTTGCAGAAGAAAAGTTGGATAATTGCAGGAAAAAAAAAAAAAAAAAAGTGTTGAATTTGGTTGTTGTCAATGTTTCTAAGGAGCTGGTAGCATACTTTTTATGTCAGATAGATTGAACTATTTATATATTCACATGTATAGAACACCTACATGCACATGCATGCAAACCGATACATGGGATATAGACTATATATGTATTCTTATGCAGAAGGTTGAGTCAAGAGATAAGCAATAGTGGTAGAGGTCAGTGGCCAGGGAGAAAAGTCTTGTCACTGCTGCAATAAAATCCATATTTTATGGAGAGTTAAATGCAGTACTTTGTAAGTGCAAATGGATGGTCACCTAAATAACTCCTGATGACATTCAAGGATCAAGAAGTTTAATGACCAAAATTACTCCCAGCACAGAAGTTACTTTTGTACAAATCGAGAAGATGGGGCATCTTTTTCCTTGCACTTCTGTATGACGTGAGATTTTAAAGTTCTGATAGCACTGCATGGGGAGATTGTGTAGCAGAATTTACTCACCTAGTATAAGGTCAATCCTTTCTCCAAAGTGACAGCTCTTCAAGCACAGCTGGAATAGAGAGGATTGGATGGCTGCTGCTGTTAGTCCAGGACTTGGCAAGAGTAGTACATGCATCCACACGTGTACTTCATGGGCTGTGTGCATAGATACATGCACAAGGAGGGCAGTACAATGAGAGCAAGGTTATTTTCATTTCCTTTTGTCATTGTACCCATGTGTAATAGCGCCCTGAAAATAACGTAATTCCAAGGGAATAAAACTGCTTGAGTGCGCAGACCTCTTTGGTTTTAATCAAAATAGACATAACTCTCCCTGTCAAGATAAAGGCTTATCTCATGTATTTGCTGGGCTGAAATCTCTATTATGCAGTCAGTTCTGTGCAAAAGTGCTTGCATATTACTTAAACCATTCCATAAAATTGATTAACATCTGTTCTTGAGCAATATAATGCTATGGGTAATGGTGCATCCCTATTTGTTTCTTTCTTTCTAATTCTTATTTGAAGGCAATAAGTTTGCATGTCACAAGAGAGTCGGGTTGAGCTTGGAGGCTTCTGTAGATTCCTTTACCATGGATATATACAGTTTTAGAGGCCTGGCAGCAACAGCACAATTGGATAGCTCCTTTAAACAGCCCAAACATGCTAATAAAGACTGCAGGGCTGAATCCCTTTTTCCTCTGCTCTTTTCTCTTTTCAGATGTTATCTGACACAGCACCGGTAAATATATAATCTCATGTGCTTCTGGCTTTCAGCTGCACTATAATCTTTCTGGACATATTTCTTGTGGCTTGCAGTTAACTTTTGAGGTGGGGGAGGTGGAGGAGGCAGGCAGCCGGTCTTTTCAGAGCAGCATAATCAGAGGCAGCAATGCTCATTTATTTATTTATTTTTCCCAGGGAAAGTGGCATTGATTCAGTCCTGTTGTAGTTGTCTGCAATTATCCTTTGCAGCCATCCAAGGACCTAGCAAACTGGGGTCCCCATGGGGACTTATTAGTCTCTCTAGGTATTTTAGCTTTCACACCGATTCAAAGCTCCTACATATCGCCATGCCAGCTATATGTAGCTATGGTCGTCATTTTCCAGCCAAGTTGTTCAGACAGAAATATGTATTATAACTTCTGGCTCTTTGCTCTCTCCCTCCCTTGCATAGCATTCCCATGCAGGCGGTAACCTGCCTCTCAATGCAGCTTCTCCTTTCGGAAAGTTTGCGTTTTGCCATCTGCTGTTTCAAAAATATTTAGTTGAGAGACTTCCTTGAAAGCAAAACACATGCATTAAAAAAACGTTGTGTTTTTTTCCTCCTTTCTGCTGAAGATCTTGAAACTGCTGTAAACTTGATGGAAGTTCTGGCTGTGCTCCCCGGCTGCAGTCCTGCCTGCGCTGCTGTGCTCAGTGCGCTGCCCAAGGCATGTTGAGTTCCTGAGCAGGACCCCCCCCCAAGCGCACTCTCCCCTCACATCTGCTCCAGAAATTTTGCTTTGACTGAAGACTGCAGCGTACCAATCTACTTGATGTTAGCAGATCTCTGCAATATTTGGGGGTTTGGAAGGAATCGCTGTTGGGTTTTCCAGTGGATGCCTGTGCTCTCTGCAGTAGTCATGCAGATGTAGAGGGCACTGACATTTATCCATGGTTATATGGTGGGATCGGTCTCCAGCTTAACTTTTTACTGTGCCTTCTGCCCTTTGTTGACTACTTTTAAGCTATGCTTAGCTGCTAGTGTGATCTTGTAGCATTATGGCTCAAGATGAGGAGGAAATTGCTTATGGATCTCCTTGGAAATGCTGGCTAATTACAAAAATGAAAGGTAGCTGAAATCTATAAAAATGAGTGGGTAGAATCTGCTGGAAGCAGCAGGCCCCACCGCGATGGTGCCTCATCCCGCGTAATGGTTGCAATTCCTCTGGTGGCTCTGTTGCAATTACACCAGAATAAAGCAGAATTGGTTTTCAGTATCTTTTGATTATCGTGCCCGTGTGGGAAGTGCCGCGGAGGGGCCCTGTGCTGGGAGCTGAGTGTCAGGGAGACTTCTTAATTAACCCTTTAAAGATACTGCAAGCTGCATGTATTGTGCTGCTTTCTTGGAAGGCTTTGAGTCATTGGGGGGGTTGCTTCTTTTTTCTTTTCTTCTCTCTCTCTCTTTTTTTTTTTTTTTCTAAGTAATTACTTTGGTTCCAAATGCTCAGAAACAAGGCAGACAAATGTCATTATCCTCAATGCCACTGGGGCCAAATTCAGGTCCTCTCCAACAGAAACCTCTGAAGCGAGCCACCATTCTGCACGTGAAGTTCTATATGCTGCCGAACCCAGGCATTTCTGCAGACTCAGTGCAGGGTTCAAGTTGCAGTATAAATGCCTAAATGTGCACTAGTGGAGATTAAAAAAAAAAAACAAAAAACAAAACAAAAAATGTCAGCAGCTGCTGGTTTGCTCTGCTGCTTGCTTAGTCATGGCAGCCCTTCCAAGGGGTCTGGAGAAATTAGGCACTCTGAGGAGAAAGATCTTATGGCATCTCAGCTTGCTTCATTCGGGATGGAGAAAGAGGAGATACAGAAGGGATGTTTTGTGTAATTAAACTCAGCTGCTATCTGCCTTTATTTGCTTAACAAAAGGTACAGGGCAGATTATTAGTCCCTGTTTGAGGTTTAAAGACACCCTTGAAGAATACATAATAAATGCAAAACACCAGCAGTCTTACACTAAGCAGGGAAGTGACTGAAAAAGTCATCCTCTTTGTTTGTATTGTGAGTGATGCTGCAGGAGAGCTAGATGGAGGAAATGCTGCATAAAAGCATTTTCTAAGTTTAGGTGTTGGTTTTTTTGTTTTGTTTTTTTTTTGAGTGCTTCTCTTCACATCCATTTGGGTCTTCTTGTGGCACATCCCATCTCAACACCTTCTCTCATCCTCCCCAAAGGATTGTCCAATATCTACCAGGGGTCCATCTAGCATTGAGTTCCTGAGCTTCTACAGGCACTGCTGTGTGTCCTGATCCTGGTCACTCACCAGTAGCTTCCCCTCCCCAGAACAGGGAGCACTGTCTCACCTCGTACCCATGACCATCCCCTGTACTTAATCCAGGTGTGGCTGGCTGCCAACATCTTCTCTGGCTTTATTTATTTTCCTGGTTGTTTGCTTGGCATTGAAAGGCCCAAACAAATATTGTGGAGATTTGTATTTATGCTTTTGTTTGTTAACAGGATCATTCCCTGAAGAAATTAGGATAAATGTAGTTCAGGACTCTTTTGAGTGGTGTCCTCCCTGGGTTACAGGGCTGGAGCTCTAAAAAGAAGCTGGAAGCAATGCAGTGATTTCTTCACTGTAATAGTGCCAAAGCACCTGAAACTGTGCTGAAACATCCACCCTCACCCTGGTACTGCTCCATCTTTCTTCACACCTAGCCCCAGGATACTCTCCTCATGCTGTCCCTTATGCCAAGCACACAACACAAAGAGCATATACATTTCCATCTGGTCGCATTCAGGAACGGTGCCAGCCTTGCTGCGTTTTAAGTAACCTGCTCAGTCATGGCTTCATTCTGGCATTGTGGGCAGATATTTTATGGATTGATTAGCCTACCCTTCCAGGATATGCATATACCTATATATTCAAAAAGTGCTTTGTTATAGTCAGAATATTACTATTAGATTTGATTTGCAACATAAATATCCATCGCATCCCCACAGCTCTTCTCTAATGACATACCGCAGTAC